AAGGAATCTGCGCGGAGGGGGCTGCAGACAGCTCAGGGCTCGTGGCCCCTAGGGCATGGGGGCTCTGTGGGGGCAGGACTTCCGGTGGGCCTACAGAGAATTCCTGCCTTCTAGATCATTCTGGGCCAAATCCAACACGTCCAGGGCTGCTGCGGGCCACACGAGCCACCCTTTTTTTTTTTTTTTAAATCAACCTTCCATGTACAGACTTGGATTAATCATAATTCTTGGTTCAGGCATGTTCTCATCATTGAGCCATGCACAATCCTCCTTCCTTCCTCCCTCCCTCCCTCCCTCCCCTCCTTCCACCTTTTTTCCTCCCTCCCTCCCTCTCTCTCCTCCTTCCCCCCCTCCTTCTCTCTCTCCTCCCTCCCTCCCTTTTATTTCAGGCAACCGGTGTGCAGCCCCTGGAATCTCTATGGGCCTCATTACAAGGAAGTGTTAAGGGGTAAACAATGTCCCCGCAATTGTTTTTTCTACGGGTCATTAACTCAGGGCACCTTTTCTCCGTGGTGACCAGGGCCATGGTTACGGTGCAGGCTCTCACGGGCGACTGCCTGGGTTTGGATCTAGGTGAGGCACCCGCACGTGGGCAAATTACTTATCTGTCTGGGCCTCGCTTCCTTACTTGTCCAATCGGGGGTGTACCTTATAAGGCCTTTGAAAACATCCAGCGTAGATAATACATGTTAAAAGCACTTAGAATGGTGCGGCTGTGTCACTGCTAAGGGGAGGCAAGCCTCCCTGCTAACCTCATGCTGTTAGTGACGCATGAATTAGCGACGGCACACCAAGTGAGGGATCAGGAAGACGAAAATGCGTTTTCTGTCTCAAACAGGGTCCTGACCTCCCTGTCATCCAGTGGGATCATGGATCAGGCTGGAAAGTCAGAGAGAACACAGCTTCTCCGGGATCATTTTCTGTTACCTGATGGTTCTTTTGGCAGCTTTTGGCTAGAACTTTCCCCCTTGACCTTTTCCCACAGTCTGATCCAGTTGGTTCTCACACTTGGTTATGCATCAGAACCACCTGGAGGGCTGGTTAAAACACATGCCAGTCACCGGGCCTCAGAGTTTCAGATTCAGGAGGTTGGAGGGAGGGGGCTGAGACTTTGTATTTCTCACAAGTTCCCAGGTAGTGCTGCTGCTGGTCTGGGGACCACACTTGAGAAACACTAGCCTAGGCAATTAACTATGATGGGGGACGCAGGGCAGTCAGGGGAAGCTTCCTGGAGGTGAACCCCTTTTAAGTGAACCTCCCTGTAGCAGATGAAGAGACAGCAGTGGGAACAAAGACACACAGGGGCTGGTGTGAGATGGGGGAAGGCACGGGGAGGTGAAGCTGCCAGGCTCCCAGCCAGGGCCAGGTGGGGAGTCCGGGCTCCGCTCTGGCGACCTCTTGACGTCTGGGAGCTGGGCCCCCTGTGAACAGAGCTGGCAGCAGCGTGAAGGGTGGTTTAGGGAGAGGGAACGGCTGTGGGACCAGACAGCCCAGCCTTGCTCCTCAGCCCAGTGTCTCAGCATCCTTTAAAACCTGGACAAGTCCTTCCATGATCTTATTTTCAAACTAGGGACTGAGACCCGTGATTCCCAAAGGCGCAGCATGAGGTAGTGGGTTGTAGCCACGTTAAAAACAACAACAATGAATTAGAAGAGGATGGAATAAAACAAAAGGACCTCATTGCACCTCACAAGGGTATTCAATCAAACCTGCTTCAGGCTTATGGTTTGTGGGGGTACCACACCGTGATGTACGCAGGAAAGGTGTGTGCCGGCCAGGGCTGTGCAGTCCTGGGGTTGGCCCCGGCCTGGGGCATCAAGCCCAGGGCCTTCCCTGGACACACACCGTTCGGGCCCTGCCCTGGGGGACAGTAGAGAAGATGAGGCCTGAGGTCCCCCAGAACAGGAAGGGCCGAGGGGAAGCCTCCAGCAGGATGGGTCAGTGTGAAATGAAGCGCTCGGGGGAGGCTTTCTGGAGGTGGCTGAGTATGACCTTGCAGGTGGCTCAGATTCTGACCCCAGGGCCTTTTGAGGAGAGGGGAGAGATTCTGCCGACCAACAGAAGTTGCCAAGACGCACTGGGAGTGGGGCAAATGAAGGTTTAAAAAGGAACCCGAGGCCCAACATAAAGAATCCAAACAGAGCTTGAAGAGCCTTAAGTATCATCAGCCGACACGTTCAAGTTACAGAAGAGGGAACAGAGGCCTTTCGGCCCAGCCTGGGCCCGCCTGGGACGTGAGCGCGGGCTCTGAAGTCTTCTGGTCCCATGCTCTTCTGGGCCACGCCGTCTCCAAATGCAGGCTCAGAGGCTAAACTCCAGCTTGTGTCCCTCGGAGAGTCAGTGAGCGCTTTGGGTAGCAGAGTGGGTCAAGACCCCAGTGACCCTGCCCTAGCTCCCCTCCCCAGGCCGGGCGAGAAACACGGGGGATGAGTCAGGAAACATGGAGCCACCAACCCACTCTGTTTGGGTCCTGCCAAATTCGGCAAGAATTTCTAGGACACTGTAATTGGGACTGAGTTTGCAAAAAAATAAGTAAGGTGACTTTCTCTTTTGTGTGGGCCATTCTCTATCCAGTTTATACTTTCTATTGGCTCTGGGCCCACACTCCCCACAACTCGAGCCAAACTGGGGTACACTGGGCTCACAACCTGCATGTCTTTAGGTCTATGTTCAGAAGGTCTCATTTTACATGTTAAGAAATGGTTCCAGAGAGGCTGTGATTCGGGGTCACTGCAAGCGGAAGGCCCAGGGGCGGCTGCAGGGCTCCCTGATTCCTCGTCCAAGCTCCTTAGCGGAAGCTTCCAGCAGCTGGGAGGTGAGATGCTATACACCCTTGCTTTGAACTTGCCCTAAGGCCAAAGTTAGGCCGGCCAGCAGGTCACAGTGTGGGGACTGTCTTTGAGGATGCGATTTCCTATCCAATAAACAGCCCTATTCTACTGAAAGAAAACTTCCCAATGTCCAAGAAATCGCTCTGAACTTTATAGGGCGATATGACAGGAAGTTTACAAAGAGAACGTGTGAGAGCCCACGTCACTTTTACTGCCCTGTTTTCCTTCGGCTGATTGATTCAAGTCCTCGTGGGGTCTTTGGCGTGGACCCATGCTCCCGAGAAGGTCTCAAACACCCCCCGCCACAGAGCCAAATCCCGTCCCACGCGGCTTATGCTAGGAACGTATGCAACATCAACAGTCACATCTGATTTCCTCTCCTCCACCTTGATTGAGGCAGGAGAGGATAAACAGGGAACGCTGTTGCGAATATCCATCCAAAATGGTAATTATTGCATCATTATATTCGCTACTTTTACTTGTCATGTACCATTAGAAGGGTACCAAGATCACTGTCAGTCAAAGGCGGTGGAGATAATTAGAGCGTCTATAGGTTAGCAGGAAATCAAATTGGTGCTAGTCCCCATCAATGCCGGGATGCTGAACGTAATTAGAGGGAAAATATGCAAAGGTGGAGATGAAGAGAACCCCAGGGATTCGATACCATGACTGATTTGAGAGTTTGATTCTTCTACGTTCTGACTTTGCAGATGGGCCGGGCATGGTGCACAGTGAGTGGGAGGCAAGGAAGCCTGCCAGGTTCACACATCAAAGATGCCGCAGAGTTTGGGGCGGTGGTGGGGCAGGGTCCCGAGAACTGCCCGATTTGGGGAAACAGTGTTTGTCATGTTTTCCAATCCACTCGTTTTGCTTCCAGTTATGTTCTCCGGTCTGGGAGGCGGGTGTTGACGGGAGAGCAGAGCCGAGAGAAGTGGGTCTCTATGGCTCTGCCCCCCATCGGCTTTCCAGGCCTGCAAGCCCAGGTCCCTTGACCAGCACGGTCTCCCCGTGTCCCGCCGCCCCCCCGTGTGGGGGAGTCCATGGTGCTCCCCGGCCATGAACGCCGAGCCCACATTGCTGGTCACTTCTGCGTCTAAGCCCCGGACGGCAGCTGTCTGCATCCCGCTAACCTGGGCCGCTTCCATGCCTTCCCCGAGAGAACAAACACCAATCCAAACAAGTCTCATCCAAACAGCAATTTCATGAGGTCAACACAAGAAAAATGAACAGTTTCTTACATCTTGAAAAAACAAAACAGATTTTAGGGGACGGGGCGGGGGGTGGGTGGGCACATCTGCAAACCGAGGAGGGACAGGCCAGGTCATTCAGCGAGACACAGAGAAAAGTAGAGACAGGAAGAAAATATCGGGAAGGTCTGGAAGTAACATACAACTGACCGAGTCCACAGACTGAAATGCCAAAGAACGAGCAAGCAAAGACTGTCGTCAAAGGCCCCGAAATCAGATGTGTCATCAACGCGGATGAAGTCAATTGCTGAGCTCTGAGGCGGGCCCATCCTCCCCCACCCCGGCCCCCATCACCTGCAAGATCCACAATTCCCTTCCCGTGACTGAACAGTGTTTTGCTTAGACCATCCCCAAAATAAAAAAATGAAAAGAACATAAGATCCACAACTGATGGTGCGGGGCACAAAGGTTTACAGAAACTAATCGGCGGGTCACTAACCGCGCTAGGTAGGGCGACCGGCCCACGCAGGTCAGCCTGGCGTCCTCGCTCGGGCTGGGTTCAAGACGTTTCTTTCCAAGAGCCCGGTCTTGCAAGTGTGGCTTCTTCCCTAAGGTAATGATGGCCATCTCACACACACAAGCAGCTGGAAGCTTGGTTCACATTTTTTAATAACATGGCACAGTTTACATTACACAAGAAGGCTCCACCGATGAGAACATGCTGAAGAGTCAGTCGGTTTTCACGTGTCTTTTCACATAGGGTCTAGAAAGGACTTTATTACATACAGGATAAACAGCAAAAAGGTCTGTATAGAACAATCTCTTTACAATACTGAAAACTACCACTACAGTTCCAGTGTTCATATCCCTCGGATTTTTTTTTCTTTTTAAGTTGTTGTCTTTAAAAAAAACAAAAAAAACAAAAAACCAAACAAACAAAAAAACAAAACAAAACAAAAAAAATAACCACTGCACAACATCCGGAGTTCACAAAATCTGAAGCTCACCACTAAACCTTCAGTTTACTACTAAAATAGATCTCTCTGCTTATTAGAAACAATGGTCTGTAGTTAACTTTTTTTTTCTTTTTTGCAAAAACAGGATAACAACATCAGATAGCACTTTAATATACTAGAAGACCCAATGGAACTAATTTTATTTCATACATATATTTTACAGTCCAGTAGACAAGATATAGTGTTATTTCTCTGCTAGTAAAGTCATATTCTCTCCAAATATGTAGACAAGAGGCTTAATGTATTATAAAAGTATTATGAAGACACATTAAGGTTGATGCGAACTTAAAAACCACACGCACACACAAGACTGTCTCCGCCACTGTTCGCCCTCTGGGACTCTCCATGGCGGCGCCCGATCGACCTGTTGCGGCTCTTCCCAGACTTTCTTACCAATGGGAGCCCAGCGAGCCACATGAGCAGATGCGCCACCTTCGATCCACCAGTTACCGAGGACAGTGAAAAACATATCCATCATCTGAGAAAACGTGAAGCTTTCTTTCAGGATTTGTTTGGGTGTAACCACCTCTCGTTACCAAACGAGGAGGGTGTGTACAGATAGGGACTAGGACACACTAAAAAAAAAAGCATGGCTCCCACATGAGGTGTGTGTGAAATCACGTGACTGATGGTGACGAGATGCTTGGCGGCCTGTGTGTCCCCTGATTTTGGCATCTGACAACTCCCATCCTCCCCTGGCACTGGCTGTCCTGCCCTTGGTCTCCCCCCCTTCCCCTCCCCACTCCACCCCCCACCACCGCGGCCCACAAGCGACAACTTCGGAAGCCAAGTTTTCAGCCTGGGGTCCGATTTGCAAAATAGGAGGTTCCTCCGTTTGAAAAAACAAGCAAGGAAAACAGAGTCATATCACGTAAGCGCTTGTTCAGGGAAAATATGACCTTAAGTATGTTGTAAATGGATTTGAAAAGGCTCCTTTGAGTCAGGAGGGCTTTCGAGAGAAGCCCTAACATTCATTGCATAGTTGAAGGGTTTAGCTGTCTAGAACGATATATGGGAACACAGCCACAGCCGACCGCGCTCGCTCATATTAAGTTTGCAAATAGCACATTTTAAGAAGTATTAATGTATTATGTTACTTACTCTTTATCTATTTACATTTGTACAAAGTAAAGCTTTCATCTTACCCTTTGCATATATGAACCATTAGCTCACGAAGCAATGTTTTTTTTTTGTTTTTGTTTTTTTTTTTACATAACTATGTACACGGCCTTCCCTTCCTTCCGAAGGAGCCCCACATGCTGCCTCGTGTGCAACTGCTGTTGCTCTCTCCCCAGTTACCGCCGCGTCGGTGTGTGTCTGTCATCTTCACTGTTTTGGTTCAAATCAAAAAAGTTTTATACGAGAAACCAAAGGAGTTGGGGACATGAGAACATAGGACTTGGCTAAAAGATCTGAAAAATTTCAACATATAATATACAAAAACCATTTCAAAATCTGCACTGAGTCTATACATTTTTTACAAGGGGAGGAGGCAGGGGCTCGTGGCCCCCAGTCTGTGGTAGCGGTCCGTTCTCTCTCTCTCTCAAGTCTGCGTCATGTTGGTGTAGAGCTTCTCCTTCCTCTCTCGGGTCCGTCTCTCCTTACCGAGCTTCAATATCCTTCAGAGTGTGGGAAGGAGGCCTCTCCCTCATCTCTGCCGACAGAGGAGTAGTCCTTCGGGGCGAGACGGGGCGGCCCCCCAGCGTGGAGATGAGCGGCGGGGGCGCGCTCAGCGCGGCCGTCGGAGGGGTCTTGTTGAGCAGTCCGTTCTGGTGTCCCGCTGTGGGGCTGATCCGGGGGTAGTGCATGCTGGGGAGCCCTGGGGTGATGAGGCTGGGGTGCGGCAGGTGGCCATCCAGGGAGGCGGGGTGCACCGAGTGGAGCCGCGTGTGCTCATAGTCTTCTCTGAGCATGTGCAAGCGCTCCCGCTCGTCCAGGTGCGCCCCGCGCTCGTGTTCCCGCCGAGGGTCCACGGACAGAGGGTGGTGGTGGTGGTGGTGGTGATGGTTGTAGTCGTGAGGCTCCCTGTCCCTGAAGGAGCGATCGGCTTCGTACAGCCGGGGAGTCGAGAGACGGTGGAGAGGGTCGTTCCTCAGCAGGAAGTCCCTGCCCAGCGGGTCTCTCCGGTGAATGTCAAGTTCTCGGTAGGGATCCCTCAAAGGGTCCCGTATGGGGTCCCAGTGGAAAGAAGGGTACGGGAACCGCTCTCCGCCCGGGATGGGACTGATGCCCATGAAAGGAGTCATCATGCGAGTCCTGTCCAGGCTGCTGATGCTGTTCATGGGGTGAATGCCTGTCACCCCCACCGTCATGGGCATCGACGCCAGGGGCCCCGGGTGCACACTGGACGAGGAGTTTGGAGGAGGCGCCTCCGAAGACCGGTGGGTCTGTGGGGCCTCCGGAGGCAGGTCGTGGTCTTCTTTGCGTTCCTCCTTCACCTTGACCTCAGAGCTCTTCTTGGGGTTCTCGTAGGCTGGCTCGCTCTTGCGCGGCTCGGCCTCGCGGCTTGAGGTGCTGTTGGGCCTGGCACTCTCCACGACGGGGGTCCGCACATAGGGCGATGGCACCCGGGCCAGCTGCTTGGCCTCTTCGCCCACAGCTCTCCCCTCGTGGCCGTGGCTGTCCTTCTCGGGCAGGTGGCCCTCCTTCGCCTTGTGCTCGTCGGCGGTCAGGTCCTTGCGGGATTCCGAGTGGTCTCTCTCCCTCTCTTTGGATTTGTCTTTCTCACGAGCCTCAGTGTTCAAATGACCCCTGATCTGTTCAGTGGAGCTACGGTTATGTCCCAAGGTGCTCACCGGGAGGATAGGTGCTGGTGAAGGGTGGCTGGAGTGTCTTTTTTCAACACTTTCCCTGAGGGGGAGAGAAAGAAAGAGAGGGAAACAGAGAAGCAAGTGAAATGGGGCTGCCGGCCTGGCGAGGAGCTGCCGATGAAATGGTGGTGTGAGAAGGGCGGGCTCGGGTCTGGCTCCCGGGGTCACCGAGGCCGCTGGATGGGCCCTTCGTACGGCAGAGCCAGCCACCCTGAGCCTATTCACCTAGATTTTAGAGGAAGCTCTACAGGGGTGAAGTGCTAGGGGTGAGGGGAGCAGGAGGGCCTGAGGGGGAAATAATTCTCTCTGTATGTAAGATCCACATGCCTCCATCAAGACCACAGATGAAGAGCTTTCAGCAAGTGGACATGGACCAACGTGGTCAATAATAGTGATGCGGCGATAAGCCCGCCTGTCTAGAATCCTAGGATCATTTAGTGTTAAGAAGAAAGCTTGAGCAGCCTGAACACAAAGACAACCTTTCTTCCACCTTCGTGATAACCGAGACATGGGAAGGAAGGGTCTGACGTGAACATGATGGTAGCTTCCATCTCCGGACATCAGGACGAGTGACCTGTCTCAGAGTAAAGGACGCAGATTCAGAGCATCCTCCGAGATGCAGCACGTGAGGGGGCTCTGAAGGGAAACCACAGGTTCAGGGCTCATGGGTGGCAAACAGGGCTTCCACCTCAGGAAGGACAAGAGGACCGCAATCTGAGAAGATGGAGGAAAGACAGTAGGAAAAGGGGGGTCCCCAGGCTTCAGGGGACAAATGGAGAACAATTTTAAGAGAATCTGGGAATGGAAATGTGGAAGAAGAATCTTAGGGACCTGTTTGGGACGGGGGCTGAAGAATCCGGGCCAGAAGATGCCGAGCACGGGACGACCACAAGGCAGACGGGAAGAGGGAAGACAGCACCGGGCACGTGGCAGGGGCCGCCCCAAGACAGACGGGGCCGAGGTGACGAGAAAGGCGCCTGGTTGGCTTGGCAGCTTGCAAGGTGAGGGTGGCCACGGCGAGAGAATCAAGGAGGGTTCCCCTACAAATTTGGTTTCTAGCCAACACGCAAGGCGAAGAAGAGGAGCATCTTCAAAAAGTAAGAATAAAAAAGCGTGTGTTTTATTAAGTTTCTGGACTTGAATTCAAAGGCCATTTTGACTCCATGAAGAAAGATGTGAAAGGGTTTGCGGCCACATCGTCTTCTCGTCAGTGACGGACTGCCCAAAGAAAGCTCCCAGTCCAGGCTAGGCCCACCTCCCTGCGGTGGTTTACCGCGGAGAGCTGAACGCCATTAAGTGTCCTCCCACCGGCTAAGAGAGTTTTATTAACATACTGTCTTGAAGGACAAATGTGTCTTTTTCTTTTACAAGAGAGCAATCAGTTAGAATGATGACCTACGAGGAATACATACTAATCTGACACATTCGAGTCTGCGAAGTTGAATTCTTTTAAATCACTAGCGTGCATGCGCACGCACACCCCATATACAGTAAGGAAAAATGAAAGATTTGGCTCATGTTTGAGACCTAAGTACCCAAAGGAGAGTGTTATTAGGGATTTTCTGTCAAACGTATCTTGTCTTTCCCTGCTTAGCAGTTTGTTCAAAAGGAAAATCGCCTACAGAAAGAAAACAGAAAGGGATACTTGCTTAAGAGTGCCTATGACATTCTTCAGAGAAAATAAGACATTTTCCTCTTTAAGGCGATTCTTTTTATAGGCATGGGTTACCAAGTACAGAGCTAAAAAAATGGTTAGTCAAATTAATTTACCCACTGGCAAAACAAAACCCACACCAGAAATGCTTGCTGATGCTCTTCTGCATCTAGGTTAGCAAAATTTTATTTGTCATCTCTGAGCCCAGGATTGGAGTTTGAACAAAATTTGAGAAAAATATGATGAGACAATGTAAATGTGACTTTCTAAAAGCAAACAAAAAGAAAAAGAGAGAGGGAGAGAGACAGAGGGGAAAAAAAAAAAAACCTATGGATGATTTAATGGACTGCACGAACTTGAAAGCAAATATGGTATTGATTCATGCTGTGTGTGTTTGGTCCAGAGCTCCACCTCGCTGTCTCGGAGAGAAAGATGTATACTGGCATACACTAATGCTCGCAGGGCCTGCCGAGGTTCTAAGGGCGGATGTGCGTCTGGTCGGGAAGTTCTCACTGCGCTGCGGTTGTTACAGCCCTACGGTGGCGGTGCGCTAGGGGGCCGAGGGGGGTGCTCTCGGGGACTGTGGGGCTGGCCCGGGCCGAGCGAGAAGCTGAGGCCACAGGGGCCAGCCGGAGCACAAGGCTGGGACGGGGAGGGGGGGGACGGCCGTCCTGGGCACACAGCGGGCTCCCCCAGTGGGACTCGAGAACGGGTTCTTTCCGTACCTTTCTTTGTCATCTTTACTAACAGATGAGTCTCGTTTATCTACATCTCTATCTCTGTCATGAGCTGCAGCGGACGCGCTACGCTCCAGCTCCCCTGGCTTCAGCCAGGGCGGAGGGGTCGGGAACGACGGAGGCGTTCGGTGTAGCCGGTTCCAGGGTTCGTGAGGGTTGCTAAAGTTCTGCACACTGGGGCCATCCTTGTGGCCGAACATTGAGTTGGGTGCTGAAATGGTGAAGTGGAGAACAAAAAGGTTTAAGAGAAATTATATAATCTGCCGTAATGAAGGTACTTACCAAAAAACTTTTAACAGCACTCAGAGTTAAAATGAATACATATTATGGGGAGCTGGAAAAGGAAAGGAGATTAACAGATTCATTAGAGGAGTGCTCGTCCTACACTGGACAGGTAGCTCACAGCTTTTGTTCTTTAACCAAAGGCGATGGGGCAGGAGGGGAGGAGTCAAGAGGAAGGGGACCAGACAGGTGTCAAGAGCACCTGATCGAACACATCTGGTGCATGCAGAAGCCCCCAGCATGCAGAAGGGGGTACTCTTGGGGGTAACTCGGATGAACAACACTCGTTGTGGAGGTGCATTCAAGCTCATCCTTGACCCACAACCCCACTAACGGGACCACCATTCTTCCCACAGCGTTAGTAGACGCAAACAGGTGTCGTCAAGCCCGGATGTGGCCTTGACCTAAGCAGACAGGTATGGTCTCCGCACAGGACGGGACTGGGAGGGCGCACTTAGGGCTGCATTTTAGGCCTCCAATGCCTGGAGACCATGATATATGGATGGCATGAGAGAAAATGGGTTGAGCCGTGACTCAAAAATGAGCAGGTGTTACACCTCTTTTTCCCACTCGAGACACTTTTTAGTAGAAAATGACACGATCCTTCCAGATTATGGAGTATGAAACGCTGCCCACTCTTGGCTAGCCTCAGCCCGGTACTGTTTTCCTGCTATTTTTGGTTGCGTTTTCTCAGGGCCACTAGTGCCAAAGGTGAGGTGAATGTAACAGCGGTTTCCCCTTCCACTGGGAGCTGTGGCTAAAGTCCTGGACGGTAGGGATGGAATATGGAGGAGACTGAGCTTAAGCGACTTCATGGAGTTCCATCAGTGACATCACCTCTCCTGACGCTCAGTAACACACAGCAAGAGCGGGCTTCCCTTGAAACACCGCCTTCCATGTCAAGGCACCCTTCCCCCTGACTTCACTGCCGAGGCCTGCTTCTCCGGATATAACCTAATCTGTTTCCCACGAGGACAGTTTCCTTTTAGCTAGAAAGGTCTTGCGCCATAGACAGATCAGAGGAGACACAGAGTCCGAGGCAGATTTTTAAAAAAGTTAAGAGGTACTCACTAACTGAAGGATTTCCGAGTCCCCCGAAGGCATTGCCACCAACAGCTGTGAGGCCAGTGAACGTAGACGGACGGTTAAAAGGCTCTGCGAACAGATCAGGAAGAAGGAAACGGTTGCAGGACTGGGATGAGTGAGGAGCCTAAGAGCTTCCTGGGAGTGGGAAGGTGATGTGGGAGCCCTGCCCTCTCTACACTTGGACCCGAACCGATCCTCATCGTGCAGAAGGTCTCACTGCGCCTGGGTCTGGGCACTGGATTGGCAAAATATTTACAGGAGCTGTTTTTCCAGAACTGTGCATTTTGCCCCACTCCTCTTGTGCTGGGGTGGGGAGCGTCGCTCAAGCCCTCCTGTCCTGTCCTCCCTCTTCGGGGAAAGTACCCTGTAGGCTCTATGAGAACAAATCGGAGGACATCTTCAACTAAGTCTCCCAGTGATGAAACTGTGAGGGCGCATCTGTGAAGACACCCCATTGTCACATGTACCGTTGCCCACACCTGCCTGTACACTTGCAGAAAATACTCAAAGAACAGAGGCCACAAACACAGCGCGTATCCTTGCTAGGAAAAGAGATTCACAGTGAAATGTGAGGGGATTATGAAGCAGCACGTAACGCCTCCTTGTAATGTCATCTTGCCTTACCTTCCACCTCCCAGAGGTGGACAGGGGGTGAGAGTTCACCATCTTGCCCCAGTGGGCAGGAACAGGGTACTGTACATGCGGATCCCCGGAGGTACCGGGGCATGGCTCCTTCCCACCGTGCCATCAGTCACCTCAGATGGGATCATGACTGAGCACACATCCACTACTTTAAGACTGTCGTATAAGAGGTGCCAAAATCCCGAGGATGGATGGCAGGCGTTCAAACTCTCCTCCACAAACACCATTATCACCCTAAGTAATCACTGAGGTGTCTAAGACGACGGCCAACTTGCCAGGAAGCGCGGCAAACCAAGGTTTTTCTGAGACACACATGTCAGTTCCCATCACCGATGGCAACTCACCCAGGTGAGCGGCAGGGTTAAGGAAGTTGCTGTGATGGGGGGGTGGCCCAAAAGGGGTCCCGGTTGGGTGTGCAGCACCTAGAAAGTCAAACATGACAGAATCAGACTTCCCAGAAAGCCAGCTCCTACCACGCAATTGGCTCCTAGCTACCTGAGGGCCCCATAAGAAAATGGGAGCGAATATGTTAAAATAAGGACATGGCTGAAGTCTACCCAGGCAACACGCTGGGAGACGACATGTTTTCTGTTAGGTAGCAGAAAAGAAGGGATGCCCTTCTTCCAACTGGGGCTGGCCACCACCCAAAAGAAGTTATTCCTTTGAAAAGACATGGACCCACAGTATTCGAAGCATGGAGGAATATCGCAAGGGGGGTGGGCGGGGTCGGGGGTGATTCTGTAACCAAATAAGTTGGAGGATCAAACACCAAGGCACAAAGTGTCAAGCGGGGTTCTTCACTTCCTGGAGCTGTTAGTACGATCCCAGGCTCACTCGTTCTCTGAAAGGGGGACATTTGGCCACGGGATACTTTCTTCACAGAGCGTAATGGGGGGGGCAAGTCTTTCACTTTGAGAAACACTGATCTGGAAACTACATTTTATAATCCTTGGCTCAGGAATGGCTGTTCCACAGCGGTGCGTCTGGGTGGCCCAGCTCTGGGCCCTGCGGAGCCCCTTCCCCGAGGAGCGTGTTGGTTGTCGCGGGCCCGTCTGGAAGGCCTGGCCCTGCAAGACCCGGGACCATGCACCGCATCAGGTTATGGGCGATCGAGTCCTCCAAGCAGCTCTCCAGCTTTGGTGCCAGGACAAGCCACTTGATTCCTACATTTGTGGACACCGACAATCTGCTAACGGACTCTATCTGCCCGAAGGGGACCTCAGTTCAAGGTCAGTGGTCTTCTTTCCTTTGGTTTCCCCATCATCCACATCTCCTTCACTGTTTCATATTCTGCCTTAAACAACATGTATTTCTTTAAGGAGCCACATCATCCTTGTCCTGGAGGAAGGTGGGAAAGGAGAGAGGGAGAGAAGGAGAGAGACAGGGTACGCGCCTGGGAAGCAGGACGATATTCGTTTAAGAGCCGAGGGCATCCGGCCAGCTTGTTACGGTGCAGCCGAGCGTGGGGGAGACGTGCTGTTGGGGTGGCAGGCTCGGCTCTGGAGACCAGATTGGCCAGGCTCACCTGACATAACCTCTCCTGAACTGATGTCAGGCATGAATTCCCAACAGGAAGCTTAAGAGTGGCTGTACTGAACACGTGTGTGTGAATTATACACACCGGTTCTAAGTTTCACCAAATTACCATGGGGGCAAAATCCAATAGTGCTTAGACTAAAAAAGATGACCTTCCGAATGGTTGTATACACAGGGCCTCAATGAACTGACTAATAACTACTAATAACTACCAATGAACTGATCCTCTTGCATTTTGGCTAAGCTCCTATAAACGAGTATAAATTCCCTCAGGAAAGCAGATTAAATGGAGGAGTGTGGTTTCCCCCCCCCCACACACCCTACGAACTCAATGTATGTTCTGTATTGTTGTTCCCTGCACCCCAAGCCCTCTGTGGGGCCTTGGGTGCGGAGGAAGCCACAGAACCCGGGATGGTATCTGTCACAGCTGCGGACTCTCAGAATCAGAAGGCACCCGAGGAGAGGAGTTTTCTGTTCGGCCCGAGACGGTGGCTTCGCCCAGGCGGTGCCGAAAGCTACTCCATCTCCACCCAGAGAACACAGCCCAGCATATTCATTAGGTGTTAACAGCGCTACCAGCTAAATAAAAATCTGGCCGCACACTTTCTGTGTAGTACAAGCTAATTAATGCTTCGATGAAGATCGGAGCTTTGCTCAGCCCTGCGCCCCCAGGGGTGCCTTGCAGTTCCAGAATTATTGAAGCAAAAGAAGCCAATTCATCCGCTTGGCTCAAACGGAAGCCAGGGAGAAATCTCTCTATTTCCCTCCAAAAATTGCTCTTCACGTAGCTCCGTCTCAGAGCCTAGGTGCCATGGTAACAAAGCTTTCAAGTATGTCCCTAGACAGAACTGACAGAGAAAAACCTGAGACCTTAGCAAATTCCATCCACCCTCAAGGGTGATTCACTTGCTTTGGCAACAAGGCCCATTATAATGATGATTTCCTGCAATGGGGGAGTCTCCCTCTTTCTGAATGGAAGAGCCTTAGGTCAACCAAGAATGAGCCCTGGGTAAAAGCCTAGGAAGGCAGCAGGCAGGATGGATGTGAAACTTGTTCCCTAAGGACCAGAAACAGGGAGCCCCGTGCATTTTTATGTCCAGAAGAATAAATTCTACTTAGCATGGTGGGTATGCAGTTACGAAGCTTACGAGCTCAGTGTCGCTGTTCACAAGTATTAACGAGCGCAGCTCTGTGCAGCCAAGGAGCTTCAGGACTGAATGATAGGGAACCTGGGATACCAAGAGGAGAGCTCTCGCTTCCTGAGAGTCCTTATGGCCACTGTCCCTTGAGTGTATGTACCTGGAGTGGAAAGGGGTGACCCCCAGTCCCCACCGCCCCCGCTTTGGCATACCTATGAGGCGTTCGGGAGGTTAACGAGCAGACCACATAGGAATCTATACCCTGTCCTGCAAATTTTCTGCATCACTACAACCAGCCAGGCAACAGCCTTATGTTCCGTAGCCGAGAACACCAGCCACCCATGGGCTGACCCTCCCCATCACAGACCACACCACCAGCAGCCCTCTTGATTCTAACTTCTTCATCCTCAGACTCTTGGGAAAAACAGCACGACCGAGCATCATGGTGCAGAGCGACTGAGTGCTCTGTGGGCACCAACCGCAAGGACAACCACATCCTTATACAATCCGTGGCACTGTTTGCTATCGATGTGCCCTTGTAAGCTTTCTGATCTTTTTCAATAGCGTTTGACATGCTTGTGAGTCATAAACTGGTTTAATATAGAAGCAAATAATGAGCCGAAGCAATATGAGTCCCCGAAGAGACAGATGATCTTTTTTCTTTCTTTAATGAAAGAGGGCATATCAGTGAAGAAGGGTCCATCTCCCTGGATGTACTGATGTTGCCTTGCAAGCTGGCATAAACTGCATTTTTTTTTGTTTCTTTTTTTTTTAAGGGAGCGATCGAGCGATGGGCCCCGAGCACAAACATCATTTATTTAGCTACCTGTGAACTCAATTTCTCAGCTCTTTCCTGGCGCTCTGAACTCACCAGCAGCAGAGAACAAAGTTGAAGGCCGGGCCAGGTCATGGGGGTGGTGGATGGCTCCAAAGAGGCTGGGGCCTGGGGGGCGGCTCAGAAACTCGGGTTTCAATCCGAAGTCCAGCTTATGTGGGTCTGACTGCATCTGTTTCTAAAGCAGCAAGGGGAAAAAGAAAAGATGAAACCCCAAGATCAACATCAGGAAAGAAAGCTATCAATGAAGAGGCAGAGACCGCTCACTGGAGGAGACTGTGAATGGTGCTCTCGGGCTCCGCGCTGGAGTCAGGTTCAAGTTTACAGGTGCTGTGAGAAGAGCAATCAACACAGCATCTCACCCTCACACGCCAGAAAAGCAGGTCAACCCACGAGGGGCCGGTGGTGCCTGCCACTGGACAGTACCGGCATCTTTGAGGTTGTACGGCTCGAGGAATAAAACCACATCCGATTTATTCAAACCACCACCGTTCCGAAGTAGTTTATTATTTGCTGTAAAGGCCCATTTTGGCAAGTTTTTAAATGATAGTATTTTAAAGCTCATTTTATTACGAATTCTGCATGAATAATCTGCTGTGTAAATTAATTGTTAATGACTCTTTGCCGTATTCTAGTAGATCACAGTACATTAGTAACTGGAAGTGATGAAGAAATATTTGCATGCCTACAAGCTAATGTTCAAATGATCATTGTTACATCTTAAAAAAAAAAAAGGAATGCCAAAAACAAACAGAAACAAAGTAGGGATATTCATTTAATGCACGGTGGTCTTTTCCCTGCCTCTGCCCCATGACTGCCCGAGGAACAGATCATCGGCCCGGCCCAGTGTGCCAACGAGACCTTCTCTTGTTTTGAATGCTTGGCATCAGCGGCCATCACTCCATTTTCGTCCATTTATATATATATATATATATATATATATATATATCTCCCCCCTCAAGCTACTCTCCGTTCACCTTCCTCGAAGACTATATAGAGACTAGCTCGTAATTTCCTCCCTTCCTTACCCTGGCGTCATTCTTGAGGCCAGTAGCCCTCTCGAACATGGATGCCCCACGTTAACTCTCAGCCACCTTCTCTCCGAATCTCACGCCTCCCCAGACTAGCTTCCCTCCCCCTTGCCACCACCTCTCCGCGTACTGGGCTCCCATCCTTCACGGCCCTTCGCCTGTTTCTGACTCACCCCGCCAGTCTCTTAGCTTTGACTGATGTTTATAGTCCCTTTGGGCCCACGCCACCTCAAACTCCCTCATATCTGCCCTAAACACATCCCTGTCCCACTCTGTACGAGGGAGTCAGCAAGGAGACAAGCTGAGCTAGCCTGTGTGAGCATCAGAGACAAGAGAAGTCCGCCATTCGCTCACTGCTGAAGGCCGCCATCCCGCTCATCCAACCATACCCATTCAAACAAGACCAGCCTGATCACTCCAAGCTGGAAGCGATACCCCCTGGAAGCAGACGGCATGTTCACAGTTTTTTATGCGCATACAGATATGCTCACTACTGAACGCTAAGCAACTAGACGCCAGGACAGATGAGTGTCCTTTGAGCCTGGTACAGTAAGTAATCTGCAGGCGTTAGGCTCCTTCAAGAAATACTTGGGGGGAGGGGCACTAAAAGAATGAGGAAATGAACATTACAGAGAAAGGGGACAATGCAATTTCTGCTCAAATCCACAGGGAAGACGCTCGTCCAAGCTCCACTATAAAGTAATAGCCAAACCCCAAACCACAGCTTCTAATTCACTATAAATCTATAAAAATCTTTTGAGTGCCTCCTTCAATTTGGTTGCCAAATTATTTAGCACTAATACTGCACGGTACATAGCACAGTTCCATTAACCACAACTTAGGTCCATGAAGCAAAATGGAGCTTGGGGATTACAAAGAGTTTGCTGGGAAGGGAGGATGAGCAGCATGCGAGAGGTCTTCCTAATTGAATTGAGATAATGAAACTTTTAGTCACCGGGGACACCTTCATGGAAAAGAAGTTGCTAAAGTGGCACATACCACATCCTTCACCGCTTTTAAGCAAAGGAACTACAAGGAGGACGTGTCTTACCTACCGTTCCGCCAACCACATCATCCAGAACAAAAAGTGAATTGAACTTAAGCATCAAAATCTAGTTAGCCCTCCGAGCACACATATTTGCTCATGAAGCTAAACCATAAGGTTTCTAATTAAACCTTGCCTAACAATAAAGTAAAAGTGAACAAAACTCACTGATGGGATGTTGGGAGAAAGAGCAGGTACTTGGCACCAAAGCAAAATATCTTAGTGACCTCATTTACTGAGGGTGGCTTTTTAACTTTTCACTAGGTTGGTTTTTAATTATTTTCTTAAGATTTTATTTATTTAGCTGAGAGAGAGAGAGAGTGCAGGAGCATGAGTGGGGGGCGGGGCAGAGGGAGAGGGAGCCGGACGTAGGGCTTGATCCCAGGACTCTGGGATCATGACTTGAGCTGAAGGCAGACACTTAACAGACTGAGCCACCCAGGCGCCCCTTACTAGGTTTTTTGTTTGCTTTTTAAATTATGTAATCATTAAAAAACAAAACATTTCTGGGATGACTAGCTCTCATTTATTGGCTTCTTTTCTTAAGCTCATGATGGCTCCCAAATGCTGTTAGCACTAAATGCTTGTTTGTGAAAAAAAATGGATGAACTTACTGGAATTACTTGATTGGTTGTTTTCTCCCATTTTTCTTGGCACGGTTACCCAGACGGTAAAATCTGGACTGACCAAAGTCAGTTACTTTGGTCCCTAAGTCAACCAGTGATGCCTTATCTGGTCACCTACAGAAGGCTCTTGACCTATTCCCTGCTGTGTCACAAATGCCTGGTAAAGCACGGACCATATTCATCTGTATGATGAAAATACAGACAGAAGTTTAAGCAAAATAATCTGCGGACAGATAGGGTAACGGGTCAGAGTGGTTCTGGCAGGTACTGAGTGAACTCTAAGCTCTGTCAGTGGTCATCGAGATGACTAATGCCAAGTATACTGAAAGGTCACTATGACATTACTTCTAGAAGAGATTTCTTCCCTATAATATGCATTGCTGATGGAAGTTCAGTAACATCACATAGGGTAGGCTTTTCAAAGTCATACAGTGAAAAGAATGCACCAATTCTTACAGAAATGACAACTTTCACGTATAGTTCTTCCCAGATACTACGCATTTTCCATATAAACCCTTGGCTGCTATAATTAGATTCTCAAACCCCACCCCACCCCCAGGATTTAATCTATGTTTAAGCTCTTTGGATCACTACGATAACAAAATCGTCTAAAAAGATAAAACATCAGGGAGTTACCAGTTTATTTCTGTTTTGTAATTTTGTGGGTGGTTTCCCTAATTAATAGTACGGTTTCCCAATAGTGTTTCCAAGACAGACTGAATTCTTCCTGCCAGAGGGTCTTTAGAAGCTGTTTGAATGCCTCCTCTGTCAAGGGATCACACACCCGCGGGCCCTGTCTCCCCCTCCCGCCGCCGGACAAGGACCACGAGACTGACCTTGACTTTCTGTTGGTGGTGGTAGATCTGCCAGGCGATGTGAACATGCATAGCACACCACTTCCCTGGTTTCTGGAACAAGAAAGAGCACCGCGGTCAGAAGGAAGACCTTGCAGAGAAAACCATCTCCAACTTCTCCGAAGCTTTTCAGCAACTTTGGGCGGCAGAGGCTCTTTTTCACGGAACACGAGTGCTCAGTGCCCCCCAAGCCGGCTCCACCCTTCCTCCACGGAGCCCGAGCCGGTGGTCACTGCTCCCCAAGCCCTACTCGACGGGGACCTCCCCGGTTACCAGGGACAAGATGGCAAAAGCCCGAGCCCCACTCTGCGTCTTTCTTTTCTGGTGGCAGCTGGCAGGCCTGGGAGAGTGGGAGGCCCTACTCAACTCAGGCGGCCGCGCTAGGATGCAAATCGGCTGCTCAGAAGAGCTAATTAGTGAGTGGCTGTGAACCGGTTCAAAACAAGAGAGGCTACAGAAGACCCTGTGTAACCTCCCCCCAACGCTGTTTCGTCCTCACCCCCAGAGCGGAACAAAGAAATTCACATTTTTACTGGAGCCCAGTTCCCGCAAGAGCTCTGCTAAGAGTCAATGACCCGTTCGTGTTGGTGGGCGCCGTTCGTTCCCAAGCAAAGAAAGAACAAAGGAGAGCGCTCATTCCTGCCCACGTTCTGGGCCTCTGCAATCATCACGTCTGCGAGTGGATCAACCCGTGTCTCTCGTGGTCCGGGCACGTCTTGCTTTTGGGGCAGAGGAGTAACTGAGTGTGCCATTTCACCACCCGGAGTGGGGGGACCCCCTCTTCCCAGTCCATTTGTATTCTTGCTGCGTAATCTACTCATCCGCTCCAAACATGTGCTCGGTAACTATAGGATGCGTGAGAAGAAACACTGCCCCAGTCCTACACCGGCAAAGGGCAGACGCTTCTGGTTTCTATGTTAAGGAGCTGTTTGTGAAACATACACTTAAGTCCAAGTCTGAGTCAGTTCTCTCGTAAGGAAATTATGGGTCATCTGAAATCACCTACGTGATGACACAGTCCTCCTTTGATTCTCTTTGGAGAAATGGAATGATCTGATTATATGTGCCAGACATGGGATAAGGATAGCAGGAAATCTCTCCATCCATCTTCCAACCGACGATCCATCTTTCCCACCCACCCCCCTACCAAGTCAGTCAGTCATCTCTTGGCCACTCTCCAGACCACTCAAGACGTTAACAAACTAAGGCCTAGAGTAGCTACTTCTGCACCAGGGGAACGGGTCGGATGGCTGTGAAGGTCAACACTACTTACTGCAGAATGAGGCAGCCACCAGCCAAGATAAATAGACATATATATATATATATATACACACACACACATACACGCACATATATATCTGCTAGGTGCAGAAGAGACAGGAGAATTCAGTGAAATCCCAATTTCTGCCCATAGCTTCAGTCCTCCTCTATATATCCCCCTACTTGTCAAGCCTTTTAGCAACACTGTGAACAAGAAACTCTGTCTCATATGAATGTTTTATCTGTTTGCTTTCCCTCAGTGGCCTGGCTTCCTCCAACACTCCAAGCAACACAAATTTGGCCATTTTCAATCACACCACCTGAAAAACCCAGCCACTGCCATCCCAACGTTTTATTCCAGTGTTTCTATGGCTTGTTTCCTTGTAATGGATTTGTATTTTTAACCCGCAGGGAGTCAAACAGAGGTTGCAAAACAGTTCTAGAAGGAGCTTTCTTACCCTTAACATAGGTCTGAAAGGATCTGTCAACTGTGAAGAGAAAATGACAACTTGGTTACATGCCTGTCACTCAAACAATTGCTCTAATTAACAAATTTGTAGTGCTTCATTAGGAGGGGAAATTAAAATGTTAGAATTTTACTTTTAAATGAAGCCCTTTTAGAGAATAATTAACCCATTTTCACACTATCAAAAGTGCCAAGCGTCCCCTCCCCCACTTCACAAGCCTGGGTACATCCACACTGACAAGCCCCCGACCAAGTTTAATCAATAGCAATTTGCCCTCTGGCAACATGATTTGCTCACATTACACATCTGAGGGGCTCCACTATCTCGAGCGGCCCTTCCCAACCCCACCGCACGGGTTCTAGGGCAGAACGGCCTCCAGACCGTAGACCTGTAAGGCTGGGTTCTACCAGGGACCCTTGGACAACTAGCCTGTCTTTGCCAACACACTTAATTTGATGACTGCCCATTACTTACAGGTTGTGAGATCTTTTTTAGATGGTCACTAACCGTCAAATACCTACATAATTGAGTCATTTTAAACTTCTACCTAACTCTGGTCCTCAATTTCTGACTGCCCCTACCCAGGGAAAAAGAAAATATTGTCAAAAGTAATCATTTGTCCACATTTACTACAAAGGCGAATGTAAGTAACAATCCACCGGACAAGACTATCTGTTATATTGTAGAACTTCCAATTCTTTTCCAAAGTCAGTAGAGGTGTGCATTATGAACGGATGAGAGAAGCAAAGCGTAACGGATATTCTGCTTAGATCACAGGAGGATGCTTCCCGCAGTAAAAGTAGAGGGCCAGGAGCGCTGTGTGGTGACTTCCTGACCCGAGGAGCAGGGAGAGTGTCCTGTGACTTCCATGAAGAAAAGCGCTTACAGCTTCTTCTTCTGGGCAACAGAAATTTAAGGAGACATCGACAGACAAGACTGGTCGAACAGAAGCTACACAAGCTAAGAGTAAGAGTGTTCACTTCCTGTGCCTGGACCACAGGACATTTGTCTTCTCTCCCACTGGCGAGTCACTCCCCTTGTGTCATTTAGCCACAGTGGAGCAGGGGAGATTTTTGTTTTCTAAGCATGACTGGCATTTTCTTCCATGAACTAGAAGGGACAGCTAAAATAGCAGCGGAGCTGAAGCAGGAGCGCGCCCCGGGCTGGCTGTCCCTCGGAAACAAACACGCCCCTGGTGTTACCTGCATCCGAGCCTGACTTTCTACGTACCCTCGGGTCCTTTTGGAGCAGAGTGTGTGGGACTGTCCCGGGTCGAGCAGCAACATCGATAGGGTTGGATGTCTACAAATTAATCAGACCACAGCTTAGGAGGCATGGAACACATGACCCGAAAAGCAAGATCTTTCTTTCGTTCTAAATTACAGAAGTCAAACGTTGATTCTGTCTGTTTGTTTGATTCTGGAATACAAGAGTTGACAAGTGCGTACTCCCCAGTGATCACACATGCTCTTCAGGAGGCCCTGTTCCCTCTGTTCTTGAGGGACCCTGACCAGAGTCCACCCTGTCTAGGAAAGGCATCAAAAGGCAGAGAGGTGGACCATGCCACATCTGACTGTAATAAAGAGCAAAGGACCGAAAAAAAAAGCGGGGGGGAAGAACACACGAAAGCACTGCCCCCAAATCCCTATCTCCCTCCGAGTTACGGATGGCCCTGTCATGGCGTTTTTGCTTTATCACCGAGCATTCTAAGAGATGCTTGCGTGAACATCACGGCAATGTGCTGTATCAGGTGCCTCTCATCAGAATAACTGAAAGTGTTTTGCAGACATTAAGCGAACTCTAAATTTTAACTGGCAGACAATAACAGGGAATTACGCTCAGTAATTACTCATTAGCAGTGGTGGAAATGGGACAAGAGGACCTAATTTAGGGACCGCACAGACCTACTATTAAATGATTTCTACAGGGATGCTGCTTCATCTGTCCTATGCCGCCACCATTCTTAAATGTCATTCATAACAGTAACCTTATCTACGGGCTGTTGTCCTTTGAATTGATGGCAACAACAGAAAGCCTACTTCCGGCGCATGCAGTCCTTACTTTCTAGTGGATGAAAGGATTCGGAACGTTTTTCACCTGGTATTTTATTTAAGAAATCACAACTTCTGTGACTCCCCTCACCCCGGCAAGTGAACGCATGTGGGAAAAGAGCTCAAGTTTAGGCACAAAGCTTGCCTATAAGGAGAAGGGGGAAAAAAAAAAAAAAAGAATGGAAGAAAGAAAAGCAATCAGCCGCTGTCCAACTAACAACTAACAATTAAGCTGGAGTTGTTAACAGCCTGATTTGCATACATATGAAGAACTCCGCTAATGAACTGCAATCTACATATTCAATCAGTAAGATGGCCGGGAAAGGCCTATTTCAACACCAAGAGAGACACTTTCTTGCCCAGATGTAGATTTCTGTGTGATTGGATAATTGTGAGTGAGGGAAATAGTCTAATTTATTAAATGACCTAGCTGTCTGTTTGGGGAGGCACCAGAGATTTGGTGCAACCCAGAGGGGACAGACCAGGGTGGGAGGGAGGAGTGAACAGAAGCAGACTAGGGGAAGGGGTTGAAAAATCACCACTGGTTCATCCGAGATAGGAGGGGTTGCCCATGGCCATCATTAAAGCCCCAGGTAGAGATAACCTGGCCTATAAACTATAGTTCTGAGCAGGTAAATGTCATTTCTAAGGTGTAGCTGGTCCCACCCCCAAGGCTTTTAAATTTCTTTTCCAATGTCTAGCTTTGAGGCAACATGCCTTTGGAAATGCAAAATGCACTCATTCTGGGTGACTCTGGCCCCAAGCTGGTGTTTTTTCTCTTAGAAATGAGTTGGGGGGAAAAAAAAAAAAGCGAAGAAAGCCCAAATCACACAGAGCAAAATTTCCTACTTTAAAAATCTGAGAATGGTTACTAACATAACTACATTTTGCTTTTGTATAAAAATAAAGTAAGGGCTGGGTGCCTGGATGGCTCAGTCGTTAAGTGTCTGCCTTCGGCTCAGGTCATGATCCCAGGGTCCTGGGATCGAGTCCCACATCGGGCTCCCTGCTCAGCAGGAAGCCTGCTTCTCCCTCTCCCACTCCCCCTGCTTGTGTTCCCTCTCTTGCTGTGTCTCTCTCTGTCAAATAAATAAATAAAATCTTAAAAAAAAAATAAAGTAAGGGCTATAACAAAGTCACATAAAGGGAGGGTATTCAGAGAATCACTCCTCAATATTGACCTTTGGAGACAACTCTAGCCCAAGCCGAGTAGAACACTGACTAGGTAGAAAAGAATTTAGTTATTGTGAAGGGCAAAAGGTTAGTATCACATTAGGCTGTAAGTCTTGACCTTGGCAAGTGTGACCGTGGCTGAGGGAGGACTGAGGCAGGGCAGAGGCGGAACAGGGGTACATGAAAGGGTGGGTGGCTGCCTTCCACCTGCAGGCAGACCCCCTATTTGCAGACACACAAGGCTAAGGAGCAGAATGGGGGAGATGAGCAGAAGCAACTTCCTTCACACAACCGGAAGGATGACACTTCAGTTAGTTTTAGCAAGGTTCTATTCCTTGCTATTCAAATCAATAAAGGCTCAGCTATGCCTCTTTGCTAATAATATACACTGCAAGGACAAGTTGGTGCACACGAATCTGACATTTCATACATCTCCTGGCCAGAAGCTTTTGTCCCCAGTACTGGTGGAAAAAAAGTACATATACGTCTTCGGTATATCTTAAAGATTACAGGAAATCCTAGCTCAACTGAGATTATATAGGTAGTACAGATTGAAAATTAAATTCGGGCTGAGGTTTAAAACTCAAGGGGCTAGCCAAAAAAAATACTCTCTCTCTAATCCCGATGGTCACTTTGGATTAGAAAAATTAGCCACTGGCAGGTGAGAGGCTATAGAACCCACCCGCCCGCCTCGTCTGAGGCTCTGCTTGTAAAGATGCTTGTGTGTTTTCATGGTCGGGTTGCTTACCTTCGGCTGAAATGCTCCTTGTAGTGAACCAAAAGGGCCAGTGGGTGGAATCATAGGGGGGATGCCCGATACTGCAGGAGGGTAGGAATGGAAGAGCTGTGACCAAAGACGGGGAGGGGACAAAAAGATTTTAGTAGGAGGCAAACGATATATTCCAATTCCCTTCCCATCGAATGACATCCACATTAGCAAGCCAGGTAACACCAGTTTGATGCTATTAGTCAAGAAGCCATGATGAAATGATCACACAGATATGCCATGAATGCTTAACTTAAAAAGTTAAAAGTAGTTCAGAATCAATCAGCCAACAAATGATGTCCCAAATGAGGACATCATTAGAAAGGGAGCTTTTCTAATTATTAATTGTTAGATCAGATAGAAGACCTAAATGGCTTGAGATTTTAATGCGCATCAAAAACAGGGAAGGGATGCTGAGCCAAATAAGATGCCTGGAAAATTACAAGTTAATTAGAAAAAGAAAAAAATAAAAAGAAGAAAAATTAAGAAAAAAGGAAGAAAAAGAAGCAAGTCTTTATGAGTTCCAGGATTTTATACCATTAAAACTCAATTAGTACTTTTAGATTTTTAATAGTTTGAGGAAATGAGAAAATATTCACAATCCTTGCTTCATTAGGTTGTTCCAGAAGTGGTGGTTTCAGAGGACAATTTAATTGTCTCGTCTCAAATGATGACAAATATGTGTGGGAGGTAATAAAATGACTCTGTGTACACTCACAATGAAGCTGTTTTTTTTTCTGGAAGATGGACAAGCTAAGCTCACTGGGGGCTGCTCAAGCCAAGCCCTTGACGGGTCTGACCACTCAGTGAAGGGGGAAGAATGATTCTGAATTAAGAATATGAATTTTCTGGAATTAACCAGTTTACAGGGGACACGATGGAGGAAAGAAATATACAGCCATACTGAAGACAAGGTAAACACAGTTCTTCCTCCTCCTAAAACTCGAATATTTCTGAGATCCCACTGCTCTGGTTCCATTCTCTTTGATCAAACCACCATGCGGACACTAAGTCACCCCCCCTTTATGGTTGCATAATATGTCGAAAATACAATAATAACTCAAGCTTTTCCGCATAATTACTTTACGTTAGCTATTTCTAGGTAAGGGCTGAAATGCCCATTTCATAATCCTGTTTTCAGAGCACTGTTTCTGTTGGTCTTTATTTCATTTTGCTCCCTTCAATGATGCAGCAAAGTTTTTCAGACTAATTGATATTGAACTAAATCCACTTAAACAGTGATTGCAAGCCAAGTGCCCTCATTTAAAACTACTTTTAAGTCTAAAATTGTGTTTTAGATACTTGAGTGCACTGCATCTTAATTCCCCTTATAACATCCTAATCCCCAAAGCGGGAGAGACTAAGTACTTCATATATTATCCACTATAACTAATAAAACGAAATAACTTTCCCACAGTACACTGTATGAAGCAGAGTAATTAAATACATGCCACACTAAAACACACTCAAATTTCTATTACTCTGCCTCCAGGTGGGGAATATTTCCTTTAACGTTTTCAATAAAAAGTTAGGTATTTTCACCATTTTCCTTTTGCTGTAGTCCATTACTGACCCTCTTAGAATGCAGCTGATTATCCCCCCAAACCCACTTGACGAAAAGTCTTTAGTACCTAGGTAATAAAACATAAACCTGGCAAAAACTCAGGCCTCTCGGCTTATTCTCCATCTTAAATCTAGGACCCTCTGTGGAATAAGCTTATAAAAAAGCACTACGCATTTTGTCCTAGGGAGTAAATCTGAGCCACCTGTTGAGCATCCTGAACTTTCTCTAGGAATGACTTTGTTAGCTGGTCCTTAATTTAAATCAGCAAATACTGATGAAGGACAGAAATTTGATGATCATCAAGGATGGCACCATTCACGGGACATCCCTAAAGAGGAGACCCGCGGGTTTACTGGATTTTGCATGTCCACTTAAAAAATGCTTTTGTGGGGTGCCTGGGTGGCTCAGTAGGTTAAGCGTCTGACTCTTGGTTTCAGCTCAGGTCATGATCTCGGGGTCCTGGGATCGAACCCTGTGCAGGGCTCTGTGCTCAGCAGGGAGTCTGCTTGTCTCCCTCTCCCTCTCCCCCTCCCCCTGCTCACTCGCTCTCTCTCTCTCTTAAATAAATATTTTAAAAACAAATAAATAAAATAAATAAAAAGTGCTTTTGTATCACAGCTGAGCAGAGTGTCAGAACAAAGTGGGGCCCAGGCACTTGGATATACTTTCCTTTTTGTGAGGAGGCTTCCTCACGTTATTATCTGCACGTCTCTGGAGAAACTCATTCTTCATTATTTCTACTATTTTGTAGTCTTGACTTATCAGCTACACTCTGGACTAAGACAGTGTCTAATGATCTGGTTCAAAGTATGGATGAATTCAGGCTTTGCTGACCTGAGGAGCACTTCTTTCCAAGCACGCATAGGTGAATATGGTGGACCAACATGGCTACAAGCACTTATTAATCTTCCTTTCTGGTGTCATTTAAAAAAATAAAAATAAACCACTGAGCAAAGAGACTTGCAAAATTTCAGGTAAACATGATGCAGTATTCACTCCATAATCAAAATATCATGGTAAGACACTGAAGGTGTTTGTGTTTTAAAAAAAGTCCTTGTCTGATGTCTCTACTGAATATATAACTTAGGTTGGTCCAATTTAAGTTCAAGAACTGAACTCTTTAAGATAGGATAAAATGAGTATTTTTTTATATAAAGAAGAATGAGTTTAAAGGGGAAAAAATCGCAGATTTCCATTATAAACCCTTCTTTTATTTAAATGATATTTTGGTTTTTAGTTGTAACAAGCTCAGGAGAACAATACCAGCCATGTGGGAGAGGGGTCTAATTTCGTCAGGAGGAGATGAGAATCTGCTTTTTTGAGGCACTGAGGAGTCAAAAAGATTAATGACATTCTATTTGGAAGAAATCATTCAAGTTGAATTCTGGGAATTTTGCTTTAATGACACTTCGGTAGATGACTGAAAATTCTGTGATTTCAGAGTCTCCTGAAACCACGGTGATTTCACTGCAGACACCCCACTCTGAGGCCAGATGACCGGCTTCCAGTGAAGTTCACCTGCGCTTTCCAGTTTTAGGCATGCTAATGATCTTTTGATTCGGAAGACGATACTGCATCGTTACCAGAAGCAAACGTCACAAAAGCAAGCATCCAAAGTGACGAGGAGCAATGGGAATTCTTGCAAAGATGATTAAGGAAGGCTGCTAGTCATTTACTGATCTGTGGCAAGAGCACAAAAATGGAAAAGCAGTTACATTGAATGGGTAGCATGGTAACAAGACTCACACTGTGCCGGTAGAATGGGTCAACTTTTGTAGGGTATTTGTCAAACTGTAAAGGGATCAAAGCAAAAGCTAGTTACTTAAAGAGTCTACATTTCTGTTCACTGCTTCGGCGGAGGCCACCCTAAGTCAGCTTCTCTGTCATTAGGCTGTTATCCGACTCCATAACCTCGCTGTATAGGAGGGAACCCTTCTTGACTCCTGAGTTGCTCCGACAAGAAATGGAAAAGCAAAGTGAGAACCCATTAGGTGCATTTAGGCCCTGGTCGCACGAGAGTGTCTTTCTTTCTGGTCTGTTTCTAGAGACTGGCACAAACCAGACATCTCAACTGGAGAAAGAGGCAGTTATTCAGATCAATCAGAGAGAAGTGAGCATTTGGTCTAATTCATCCAGAGAGTCCCTGTTTTCATCTTCCCTTTGGCAGAAGAACAAGTACATTCAGCCACCTACTGAGATGTATTATACCCACGTGGAAAGGCATCTGGGCGAGGTCTTAAAACTTTTCTTTTGAGCAGAAAAGAGTATACCTCTACTTCCTCTAAATAACGTCAGCATCCTTGCGCTGTAACCCCCCACCCTAGATTTCATTTGTCTGTGTAACAGATCACTCATGCTGCCAGAAACTCTTTTTCAAGATAATAGGCCCTTAAAAATATAACTGTTGAAAAGTATAATTCATCCAGAAAAATGGTACAGGATTTGTTATAGGAAAAAATTTTGGTTCCAACGTCTCATTTCTAATATTCTCCTACATAAATTTCGAAAATAAACTTCAAAATCTATATTTAAAAAAATTAAGTTGAACAAAATAGGGAGGGGGAGGGAGGAGAGGAGGCAATGTTTGGTGGAGAGTGCACCTCTTAAAATCACAGAATTCAAATCTATTCTCACCATGCCGATACTAAATCAAGTATTTCCTTATATACTAAAAGTTAAGTAAGTAAAGCACCCCAGTACTCACGGTGGCAGACGGGGCTCTATCTCAGCATATTTAGCACCCTAATATGGCACTATTCATTATGGTTCGTAAGTTAAAAAAAAAAAAAATCCTAACTGGTTCCCCTGGCATGTGCTAGACCTAGTCGAGACCAAGACCATGTCCTTGTCAGCAGCATCTTCTACCACAAGACCAAGTTCTGCCCCTAGGGGCCCACAGCTCCCTGAGCACTTGCTGACAGAGCAGGATACCAGCCTGGGGCACCATCTTATGAAACACAAGAGATAGAATCCCCCCTCAACAAAACAGGCTTCGGGGAGCCACCTGAAAGAGCAGGGGGTCACAGACACGGTCCAGGTCTTCGGACGGCTCTCTCCCCTCCTCGGCCCTCCTCCTGACTCCCGGAATTCTATGAGCATTTATCTGCTATGACTTGGTGCGAAGCACAGACAGGTACCTTTTTCTAAGTGGTGGCAATCCCCCAAGATGCTCAAGAAGACAAAATTACCCTTTAAGAAGTTAACTACCAACACTGGATGGGACGGTTTGGAGGGCATCGAGAATACCCCCCTCCTCATGCACACGCATAGTGCTAGACAGAACTTTCTAGAAAGAAGTGCCTACCTGAGGCCCTGGGTTAGTGCTGCCTGGAGCAGGGCACATTCCCTTCTCCCCAGCAAAGATGGGCAGGGCCGAGGGAGCCCCCTAAATGGCTACCGCTCCCCATTCCATCTCCTGTGCCCCGAAAGCCCATTCCACCCCAGCGTGCTGCATCAAAAAAGAGTCGTGCTCTACTTATCCTCACATTTCTGCCTGGGGTACGCACCATGGGAGGTGCTGGCGTCGGCATGATGGCGGTGGGCGGGATGGCGTGGGGGAACGGCGTGAAGGTGTGCTGGTGTGTGTGCTGGTGCGTGTGCTGATGCTGGTGCTGGTGCTGGTGGAACTCGGTCCGCAGGTAGGGCGGAGGGCCCAGGGACGCCCCACGGTCAGCGCTCTGAGAGGCCAGAAAACGTGTGTTCAGTTCCTGTCGCAAGATGTCTTGCTCTGGAAAAGAAGGGGAGGGAGAGGGTGACGCTTTTTGCCACATCAGTAATATCCTTCCGATCAGGACGTCTGAGTACCTGTCCAGAGGGGGACAAGGACCAAGGGTGCCCCCGAAAGCCCCTGTGCCCCCAGATGGGAGGGGACCACCGACCGGAGGATCCTGACACCCAGTCACAATCGGATTGTGTTCTTCTAGGCTCTTGGCTTTCGGGGACAGGCTCCAGGCCGAATAGCCAGAGGCTGATTTTCAGCTCTGTTAGCATCAGCTCAGGGAGCCAGGGCCTAGGCAGTCACCCATCCGGGGCTTGGTTCCCTCATCTACCGTAGGGGGACGATAATATTGTCCACGTTGTGGGCTGTTTGCGGGGGTTCGAGGAATTATTTAAGTGCTTAAGAACAGTGACTGCACCCCGATCTCTGTTACCACAGCCATGTTCTCGTGCCTTCTTCTTCAAGTGGGAATTTCTGCAGGAGGGGTATAACGTGGCTATGATGGACCCAAACTTGGGATCCCAGCCTGATCAATACAGGGGAGGAGAAGAGGGGCCAGTAGCTAACACTCGATTTTGTTAACACTTAACGCTCTGGGCACGAAAAGTGCATCTTCCCCTCTGAAGAAGGGAGAAGGCCCTACTCACTGAAAACAAACCCCTTAAACCAGGATGGAATTCTCAGAGCCTGGAATGGAACAGTCTCTGGGCCTGGCAACGTTTCTGTCCCTCTCACGGGAGCCCAGGAGACAGGGCGTCTACAATCCGTGTGTTCCCACTCAGTGGGTGAACTCAGTTGGAAAAGCCTCCTGACTTCCAACAAACTGCTTCCCCCTGGCAGTTGTCTGGGTCGGTATGGTGCTGGTACATGTTTTGGCTGAACTTCAGCCCATACAGGGCTGGAGGAAGGTTACAAGAATACATCTAACAAAGCAGGAAATCGTCAAAAGAGAAAACCCAGCCCCGAGGGGCAGCACAGACAGAGAGGCCACCAGTGCGAGACATGGGGGATGGGGGTTGGGGGGAGGGGCTCGGGGGGCTCGGGGCTTGGGGGGTGCGGCGGGAGGGCTCCTCCCTCCTACCTGAGTAAGTGCTTCCGGCCGGGTGTCCGGGGACCTGCAGACTCCCTGAAGTCAGAGGCGGTGGAGGAGGCAAAGCCGTGGGAGGGGCAAACATATTGGGGTGATGTGAGTGTGCAGGGGGCTGGAGGGTGGGCGTGAAGCTGTGCAGGGGGCTGTGGTTGGGCAGTGCGAGGGGGAACGGGGAGGCCGAGGGGTGATGAGAGATGTGAGGAGGGGCGGGCTGAGTCTTCGCTGGAGTGCTGCTTCTGCTACTGCTGTGGGAGCAACCACCAAAAAACAAACAAAAAAAAATTAAAAAAAAAAAAAAAGGAAGAAGAAAGGAAAAAAGAGGTAAGACTTTTAATTTCTTTAAAAAAAAAAATCCTATCTCCCTGCCCAAAGCCATTCAACACTTTCTCCTGCTTCTTCCTCTTTACACTCTTTACAGACCCCGCCCCGGGGAACACAAGAAGCTTCTGCTATGATCACAACCGCGGACAGCACAACAGGAGCTGAGGCCCCAGAGCTCTGGCCGAAAACCCAGGTCCGCTCCCCACTCAGCTGCCAAGTTCTTACCTCTGCCCCTAGGAGCCCTGCACCCTCCCATCCTCCACTAGCCACAGGTCCTACAGTTTTCAGAGAGGAGTAAGAACAATGGCCTGAGCTCACCCCGTCTGACTGTGACCCCCTTCAATGAAGAAGCACCAGTAGGAGGTGAACCAGGGAACCCCCTGATCACCGCTCTGGTCTGGGGGCCACGGACATGAACTCGGGGGCAGAACCCTGGCGAAGGCAGTTTCCTTCCCCTGTCCTAGACAGGAAGCAGCAAGCCCCAGAATCCCCCTAGTCACCAGGTTGTCACAAGGGAAACAAAGTCACAAGAGCCCCGGGAGGTTAGAATTACAACCCCCGGGGCCAAGCAAGGGTGAGCCATGCTTGGCCCCATACCCTGGGGTTTCGGTCTCCCTTTCCTTGGCAGTCCTCCACTGTGCTACTTTGAAAACTCTCCTTTGTAGTTTGGCAAAGACGAGGCAGGAGAGAGCCTGGATCTCCACCACGGGGCTCCTTGTTCTCCAAACGTAGCTTGCTTCTCGGCCTCTCGGACCGCCTTGGAGGTCCGTGGTAATGGAAAAACCTCAACCAGAAACCTCCCTGGTCCCCATCTTCCTGACTCTGGAGTCGCAGGTAGATGGAGCACCCTCGAGTCGTCCTCCCTCGGAGGCAAATGGCCTCCCTTCTAAGACTCTCCCAGCGCTGGGTGCCCCTCAGGTTTCTGCGCTGGTTCTCATGCATGCCGCCCCTTCCCTGGGCCGTCTCCCTGCCCTCCGGGCTCTGCTTCCCGAGAACACCGCGACAGTGTTTGCAACAAGAAACGCCAGTCTCCTTGGGAACTCCTTACCCACTCCCACCTGAAGAAGAAGGCAACAGTCAAGCCAAAAAAGCAGGTTGGCTCACCTTAAGCTGTTGAGGCTTAAGCTACTGCTGTTGTAGGCTGACAATGGCTGGGAGAGGCTCTGGGACGAGGGGTGGGCCTGCACGGGCGGGAGGCTCTGATGGAGCAGCTGGGCGGGGGACTGCGGCCTCGGTGGCCTCTGCACTGGAGGCTGAGGGGTGGGCTGAAGCTGGGCCTCTGGGGGCGCCTGTGGTGGCTGTGTGCTTGGACGTGGGGGCTGAGGCGGGGCCTCTGTGCGCTGCACCAGGTCGGGGTCTGGAGAAGGACCTCGTGGCTGGGGCTCCGCCTGGGGCTGGGGCAGCGGCTGAGGGACCTGAGGGCAGGGGTCTTTAAGCACCAGGGGCTCAAAGATCGGCTCTTTGCAACAGTCCTGGCTCTTCTCCTGGCTTCTCTCTAGACCCGATATCTTGGGGACAATCGGCCCTGCATCCTGGCTGTCATGTTCCGGGAGCGTGCCAACAGCTAACTCCGGATCTGTATGGGGGAGAACAAAGACAAAATCACAGGCATTGACATGTGAGTGTGAAATACGGAGCAGAAAGCCAAGTCCAAGCCCAGACCCCACAGTCCCACCAACATGGCACACAGCCTGGTGCCACGTCCTGACGTGACCGCGTGCGGGACATGGGCACACCGCGACCAGGGCGGATGGTAGATGGGCAAAGGCGAGCCGTCTGCAGGAGGCTGCGTTCCAGAAAGCGGCCTAGGCCACCAGAGTCTGAAAATGCAGGTTGACTTTAATCCTGACAGAGCCTTTTATGCAGCAAAATTAAGAAACGATAGCTGACGAGTTGATTTTTTCCCTTTTCAAATATATACAGTTCTTGAATATACAAAAGAGCGGTGTTTTCAAACAGCGAGTGAAGCAAATGTTATTTAACCACACACAGATGTTTCTTCTTGGCCTCGCCTCTTCCCCCTTTCCATTCTGACTGATGAGACACACTTGACATTTACAGAAATAATTTCGTGTTTGGCAAGTGCTAAACTCTGGTCAAACGTCGGGCCTCCTCATGCTCACCAACTAATCCTAGCAATGTCTGAGATGCAAGGTGCAAACATGAATTCCAACCAATTTACAGCCAACTACACATGCCAGACATTTTAAAGGGTCCTGCCACCCCTCTGGACCACTGGGTGCAATGCTGAATGCTGACGCTAAGTCTGGTTGTATAATTTAAGTGAAATTCCACAACCATGGAAGAAATGTAGAAGGTACATGCTCCTGTTATGAATTAAAAAGATAGGCTTCTCTGGGTGCCTGGGGGGCTCACTTGGTTAAGCGTCCGACTCTTGGTTTCGGCTCAGGTCATGCTCTCAGGGTTGTGGGATCAAGCCCTGTGTTGGGCTCCGTGCTCAGCATGGAGTCTCCTTGTGATTCTCTCTCCCTCACCCTCTGCCCCTCCCCATCCTGCTCACGTGTGTGTTCTCTTTCTAAAATAAAGTCTTAAAAATAATAATAAAAAAAGAAAAGGTATGCCTCTCCCCAAACCTCCATGCCACATCACAAAGTGGTTATTTGATTAGCCCAGAAGCTCTATCAAATCCTCTAACAGGAGAATGAAAGACAAATATGGCATTAAATAGAAAGAAATGCCCCGATTGGTGCATAAGTACTTTTGTATACATCTGGGGGGGGGGGAGGGGGAAGTGACCTTTCCCACATCTTTGTGCTAAAAAAGCCATCCTTTTATTATCATACAGCTCAGAAATAGGAAGAGAACAGATTATAATATTCTCCAAAATGAGGATGTGTTCCAGGCATTCCTCAAGAAACTACTTTGGGCATGATCTTTCTCTTCCAATCTCACTGTATCAAGTGTGAGAAATACGTGGTATTCTCCGTGGTCCTATCCATTTCTGCCAATGTCCTCTCGGGTACACACACTTTGCTATTTTTCTTCCCTGGAATTTGCGTCAAAGCAACCCGTTATTTCCACTGTTCTTTTGGTAAAAGGGGTGAAACCTGTGACACGCACAAAAACCCAGAAACCCAGAAACAAACTGGGTTCATAAACAAAGCACATTTTTGGCTCAAGTGACCCTGGCTCGCTTTACGCCTCACAGAACAGCCTGGAACAAACGCACTGACAGCATATGCAAAGACAGTACCCTCTTTGCGTGTCTCGGCTCCGCGGATAAAGCATTCAATAAGGCCCTGGTGAAAAGTAACTCTAGACTTCTTGAGTCCCACTCACGCATATTTCCATCCAGTGCTGTCCGTCAGAACTTTTCTGGGAAGATTTTTGCTTGTGATAAGCTGAGACTTTAGGAATTCCTAAAAACCTTAGTTTCTAACTTGAGGGCTGAGAACATCAAGATTCTTGATGTGGACAGACCCCATGCAGCCAAAGCTCCTAAATCATGAAAGAAGACCCTTTATCTGTAGACATCCACACGCAGAGGTCCTGGCTTGGCTTCTCTTTCAACGTTTTTGCTATCATTTCCACAAGATTACCATAGCAAGTACTTATATGAGCTCAGTGAGATACACAGGCTTCCCACAATGGAAGAGGGTTAGTTAGGTCTGGGGCAGAAGCACTAACACCCCAAACATCCTAACCGCACAAAATACAAGAGATTCTCCTCAGTGAGGGGTGCTTCCCACTCTGATGCTCAGACAGCTAATTTAGGATTACGATGCTTGCTATAATAGCAGGAACACATTTCTATCCTTTTGAAGTGCTTTGTTCTCCCTGGACTGGGATGGTGAAGAATAAATACATAAGTATTCTCCATCTCGTTAAATTTAAATTCAAATTCATGTTCTCCCTCCAAAAATCAGGGTCCAAAGTTTCTCTCTGACATAAAAGAAAGTTTTCTCTTCCAAGGGACACCACCCAGAGGCTATCAACTTAGATTGTCTTATGCCAGTAAGGAAGCACATTAGAAACACACAGCTAAGTGCTTTGTTTATGTAGCCTGACTATATTTATCTCCTTGTTCTTTATTTAATGGGCTTCTAGAATGTGGACGACACAGCCAGGGAAGTTCGCCGGGGGCATGGGGCAGGCGTGGGCTCGCTTCCCAAGGTTCTGTAAAGGCAGACAGGGTTGGCTTTCGGGTCTCCTCTGTTGTCCCACTGTCGTCGTGGGTTAGCACCAACCCAGACCCAGCCAGAACGAGGGCTGTGATGAACGACTCAGAGAGGACCCAGAAGCACAGAATTTAGACACGAGATCAGAATCTGGGAAACCATTTCAGCACTTCTCAAACATTTAAAATGCATACAAATGACCTGGACATCTGATTAAAATGCCGGGTTGGACTCAGGAGTTCTGGGGTGGGGCTCCAGGGTCTCCCTTTCTGAGAATTTCCCAGGTGATACTCCTGAGGCTTGGACCCTTCTGTGAAAAAAGCAAGGAACTTATCCAATCCTCTCCGATAAGATGGGGGGAAAAGCCCAGAGAAGCTAAGCAACTTGCTTGCTGGTGGTCACCTGGCTGTTTAATAAATCAGATGACTTTCGTTCTAGTCCCAACTCTGGCTATACCACTCATTGCTTTTTCTCTGACTTCCACTTTGCTGCCCCCTCCGAAGCAAAAATCCTAAAGCAAAGCAGGAATCCATTAAAATATTTGGTACAATGAGATGGTACAAAGGGCTGGTTAGGAAAGCTACAAAGAGTTACGGGAGTGGAGCACTTCAGCTAAACCTGAAAGCTATCACCAATCCATCGATGCCCCGTTGTTGTGAAGCCTGCAAGCAAGGCACTGGCAGGTTGTAAGGCTGGTAAGAACTTTGGGGCTGAGACAGTTTCACGACTCCCCATTTATACAACTCTCTTGAGGCACAGATTAGGCGTCATGCGTTTTTTGTGGCTAATCGGTAATGCATTTCCTCTTCTTTTCAATTATTCAATAAATGTATCTTCCCAGTTAAGCTTTTCCATTTTGACAGTCAATTTGTCTTACTGTGCTTCTCCAAAATTGGCAAGAACACATTACCAAAAAAGAAATCATTTTGTATTGCTCTGTGTGCTCTGAGTTTGCCAAAGGATGAAATTTGCTGAGGTTGGGAAGAAGTAAGAATGTGCAAATTGACTAGTCTTATTTACAAGTTTTACTCATTACATTTTGGGGTTTTAAAATCTCTCTTCTGTGATTATAAAAATAGCACATTGTGCTTATAATACATGCAAATTAAAATTACACTGCACAGTGTACAGTACAAGGGGTGAATTTGCTACATGTAAATTGTATCTCAATAACCTTGACTCAAACACAATATATTTTTTAAAAAGGTAAGGGCAGATTAAGAAAAATTTGTTTAATTTTGACCCAAATTTGACACACGTTCCCTGGGGAAAATGGAGCTTGCTAGTACTTTACTGGTAGAATAAAAACCTACAACTTCTGTGGAGGGCAATTTGGCAACATTGAGCCAAGAAACTAAAGAAGCTCAGCAAGGATTTATAGACACAATGAAACAATTGCTTTGAATTGCAAGTTTGGAAAGAACTAAAATGTAATTCTTTGGGAACTGGTTACACATAAATCTGATACATCCATACAATGGAAGATGTTACAGCCTGAAAAGGAATGAGGAACTCTGTGCATACAACCTACTGGCATATTGCTAAGCTTCTGTGAAAACCAGAAGAAAAGTAATATATATTCATTTTCCTTTATGCATAAAGAAGCTCTAGAAGAGTGCCTAAGACACTAGTAGGGGGCTCAAGGCAGAAGAACCAGACAGGGAGCTAGAGGAGGGGGAGATACTTGACTAAACACATATATACATATTTAATTTTTGAGTCATGTGATCATGTTACCTGTTAAAATTCTTAAAGGAAAACTGGTCCTACATTTAAGAACAGTTGGGAGCAAGAAAAAAAAAAGCACAGCAAACAAAACTGAGAATTTGAATAGTGGTAGGACCATAGACATGGAGAGTGTATGTTATATAAAGTAAGACACTAGAATGCACAAGTTTATAATAATAAATGTGAAAATAAAATGAATTTTATGAAAATATATCAATTACTAAAACTGACTCAAAAACAAACAAATAAACCTGATCATAGAAGTAAACTGGAAAGACTCAATGATAGACACCTTCCCCTCAATCCAGAAATATACCCCAGGTATATTTAGTGTTACAGACAATGTGGACTGAACCTGTAAGAAACAAACTATTCCTGTCATTTACATTAAAAACCAACAGCAATATGACAAAAGGAAAAGGAAAAATGCCTATTTACAAAAAATGTAATTATTGGGGCGCCTGGGGGGCTCAGTCGTTAAAGTGTCTGCCTTCAGCTCGGGTCATGATCCCAGGGTCCTGGGATCGAGCTCCGCGTTGGGCTCCCTGCTCAGTGGGAAGCCTGCTTCTCCCTCTTCCGCTCCCCCTGCTTGTGTTCCCTCTCTCACTGTCTCTCTCTGTCAAATAAATAAATAAAATATTTTAAAAAATATATAATTATCTAGCTAGAAAACACAATCTGCTGAAAAATATGAGAATAAGAGAACTCA